CACTTATACATGCAGATGTTATTAACCGAAGTAAGACTGGCTTATGGTGACATGTACCCTCCTGACTTTTTGTTCTAGCTATAGTAGAGACAAATTTCACATTCAATCCATCAGAGATAACCATGGTAAGTTATCTGATGGATTTATCTTTGCTTATGTTGTATGAATATGGAAGGGAATTAAATGTGTGTTTACAGTTTGATAAACATTCAACATAAATTACACATTTTAATTTCATTTATTAGTTAGGGACTATGGAAAGTGGGGATTTCATAGCATACAAACTGCCATGCAGATTGAAGGATTAGACAGGCTCCTGAAAAGGTGCGCTAATTGTAAGCACAAAATCCATTCTGATTTTAAAGCAGTCACTACATGATTTGGTACTTGGAGTTTAAGTAAAGTAGAAGTGAAATCAGGATCAACCAAATGACTATGTGATAGAGAGGAAGACCGTTTCAGGTGGGGAATTTACTCAGAGAACTCTGAAATCCTGCCAGCCCATCACTGTGACGGGGAATAACCCCAGAGCAAATACCTTTCCTTACCATTTGAATACTTAATACTGAGGTCGGGAGCACCATGCTATCCTTTCACAAAGCTCTCTTTATCATGTTAAGGAAACAGGCCAGTCCTTGTAGCATTAGCATGAGTATAAGTCTTCCCCTCCCTCTCGGATCCCCCCCACCCCGATATTATCTTACCACATAATGATTCCAAAAATCTCACAGAGATTAATGGTGATCACATAATTCCAGAAAGTCAGTACTCTATATGTAGAAATATATTGGCAATAAAAACCAGTCACTGTTGTGCCTTTTCCCCAGTAGGGGATCTCTCACTTTTCTTTGATTTTTAAAGGCTTCAGATCAATAACTGGAGTGACATTATTAACAGCTCCCTCAACACCTTGGCCAGCACTAATATTAAATCCATTATACCTTCTGTTTGACATTTGCAGTACAGCAGAAAGTGCTGTAGATACAGTTACACTGTCTTGGGACCAGGGTTGGATGCTGGGTTAGTAAGATGGTTTCCCTTGCCTGACTTCTAAATTCAGCTCATTGATAGGAAACTGGAGCTATTTCAGAAAACTACACTAGGCAGTAAATAATTCAACTGTCAAAGTACAGGTATCTCCCATCCATGTGGCTTTTGGAACAAAGCACTGAGCCAGTCTTCAAATGAATGCTGAAATTCCTTCTTGTTTCCTTTGTCTGCCATTTGTACTGGTTATCCCGTCATCTATTGGGGGACCTTCTAATGAACTCCTTAGAGAGATGAACATGAAGGTCTGCAAAAATGAGCTGCTTCTGTTCTTTCCAGTCAGAGCAGGATCTGATCAGATTTCCTTAATCTCGTAGGCATAAGCATCTGTGTAAGGGCCTCCATGATTCCGTTTTGATAATGAAGATGTCTATTAAGTTTAGTAATTTCGGCAACATATAATGGTGCACGCACACGCGTGCGCACACACACACACCCACACCCCCCACACACACACACCACATAGCAAATGAGTATCTCAACTTAATTCCTTTTTACCCCGTAGCAGTCTTGCTTCCAGTTAAAACTTTTAAAGGAAGCCTTACAGTCAGTATCTCAGAGAATCAATGGGTTAAATTTGCTGTTGTAGTTATTCTTCACCCAAAGTACTGTCTCATACATTTTGCTAAGTTGTCTAAATCCTGGTTTAGTATTGATTTCTCCCTCTATGAGCTCTCACCCATTCAATAAGCTGCAAGGACCCTTGTCCTGGCTCAATTCACTCTAAAGCAGGGCTGGGATATGTTATTCTTGACGGGAGACCTACAGTTAGGAGCTTATTACCAAGGAAGCTAAAAACAGCTTTCACAACAGAAAAGGAAACTTTTTCTTTAAAAATTAAAAAAATAAATAAAAAGGACAATTGACCACAGTTGTTCTATGACCTAACCTCAGAAATAGGGCCCTTTGGTTTGACAATGTTTCTAAATTTCTCTAGCATTCCTTGGAAACAGCTAGTTTTCCATTTATTGAGCACTTAACAGTAGCTATGCTGAATTTATTAAAAGAAGAGTATGGCAATCATAATTCCAAGACTTGTGGAACCATTAAAAGAAATGAAAAGATATAAGAAGATCTATGGAGAGTAAATTAAGCATTCAGGCTGTATGGTCCAGAGATTCCGAGCTCGACAATATCATGGGAGCCTGCAGGTTAAGGAAAGCATTCTCCAAAATGGCCAAATCATCCTTTAAAGGGGGGTAATCTTTAACTTGATAATTGTTTTTAACCCAGGCAATACATTTCCTTTTCATATGCCCTGAGAGTTTCTTTAGGATCTAAGGGCTAAATATTAAAAGAAATATCATATTTACTCAACTATCAAGAAAGACACATGCATACATACAAAGTATATATTTGGGTTGGCTGTATAGTCAAGATCTTTCTTTTTATTATTTCCTTTCATTATCTTCAGACTGATTTAAGACAAGACAATCAAAGGACTGGCTGCTCAAAGCAAGAGAATTCTTATTACAGCCCAGTATCATTGCCTCTTAGGCTAGTTTAGTCTCTTATTTCCTTTTATTATAATGCCAAATGTTATTTAGATTTCAGTCATTTAGTAATGCTACACTGAACACATCACAAGGCTTCTGAAAAATTCCACACCTAGCCTCTTCATTTTCATAATACTAATATATTTGTAGACCTTTCCCCCAAATTACACTGCTATTTAAAAAAAAATCTGTGTCTTAACATAGTTTAAAAGATTATGTTGCTATGAACATAAACACTCTTCCACGTTATTAAGATTCAGAAAATCTAGTTAAAATTCCTTTAGCTGTTAAGAAACATAAGCAGCTTTGGGATGTAGTGCCTGACACTAACTTTTTAACTAATTCTCTTAGAGGGATCATCTGCATTAGTGAAGATATTTGGTTAAAGGTAGCACCTTCAGCAGCTTTTCAGTACTTGAGCAGTCAATCTCAATGTTATTAAGAACTGAAGGTCTGAAATGGCCCAAACCAAGGATTTTCAACAGAAAGAAGATATAACATTCACCCAAAGGACTCCTGAATTACATGCAAGGAGGGGAGAAACTCTTCTTATTAGGGCTGCAGTGGCAATAGAGAAAACTGTTATTTGGTAATGACACTCATGCTTTTTACTTCTACTGGGCAGCAAAGGAAGCTCTTGAGGAGAGTAGGGGAAAGAAACTCAGGCAAAATGGCTGCCTTTTTCAGGCAGTGAGCCTTCTGTGTGAAAAAGACCAGCACTCCACTTTGAAACAGAGAAGGATTTGCCAAGTTCTAGGGCTATCTGTGGATAGGAAGGTAATAACGGATGGGAGAAGAAAGATGAGCACTCTAAGAATTTGATGAGAGTCATTTTGTCTGGATGGATACTTATAGAATGTGTGGGATTTCAAAGTGGCATTAATATCAAAACTAGACCTATTTTGATATTCATGACAATTTGGGACCAGGAACATTTCAGTTGCAATGTGTGATGAGTTCTTGGACCTACCTTGTGACAGAGGTTGCTTCCAGGAGGAAGGGTACTGAAGGAAAAGGACTAGCAAACAATTGGTTTCTTTAGGTTTGTGCCCAGGGGTTTATAAATTATAAACCTTCCACGCCACTAAGCTGTGGCCAGTCTAGAATAACAACATCTGTAGAGGCCAGAGTCTACTTCTATTCCTTTCTATTATTAGGGAATAGGGACTGGTTCAACATTTCCCAAAGGTAATAGTCTTCTTTTTCCTTCTTTCTTATTTCGTAAGAAAACCTACTGTGTAAAGGCTAGATGCAGTCAGTAACTTCCTGAAGGGGCCTGGAAAGACTTATTTTCTTTCTTTATCAGCTCAAGGGCTCCAATATTAACCTTGAGATTTGTTTCTTCATTTTTCTCTCCTAATAAAATATTTTTTTGCCTTATGAATCTGTTTTAAAACAACAGATCAAGTACAGTACAAACATCTTTAAAGAGTACAAAAATAATTTCCTAAGTAAGCAAATAAAACTTTGCACTTCAAATCAGGCCTTGATTCATTAAAAATCTTAAACTTCTCATGAGAAAAATTAACATTTAAACCACTGCTGCTTGGCCAAGCACTCCACCACACAAGAATATGAAATATCTCCTCTAAAAAAGTACAAAAAGGACAAAACCACAAATGTGGAACTTCAATTAATTTAAAGCCCCAATCAGCAAAGAATAAATCCTTCGCAGATCTAATTACCAGAGCTCTCGGAAGACCCAGGCCGACCAGCCAATCTTCCCCGTGTTTGAACAGCTTGATGAACTAGGGGACTGATGGATATCAAGTCATTTTGTTTAATTTATAAATGGATTTTCCCCTAATACTTAAATTATCATCAGTACAACACAATGAAAATGGGAACATTCTGAATGCAAAGTCTATAAGAGGCCTGGAAGGAATCCCAATGAGGAATGTCACCTCTGTTCATTCCTCTATACAATTGATCTAATTAAATACTGAGGGTGGAAAGGCAGTTTAAAATGTAGCCATTACTGTTTTCTTTTTAGCCTTAATTTATCTGTTCACATCTTTCAAGTACCTTCTGATGCTAAAAAAAAAAAAAGGAACTAAGAATTCTGCATGTGCCCAGTACTTTTCATTCTACACAAACCTATTCATAGATTTTGCTGAATAATAAATAAGTACATTGCATTTAGCCACTGTAACAATCCAAGAAGAGGGTATTCTAAATCAGAACCTTTTTCAGTCATTTGAAAGAAAAACTAAAGAAACTAATGCCTTTTGTATGTATTGTTCAACCAAAATTAGATCCTTGCTATTATACTTATTAAAATGTCTCTTTATTTTCAAATCTCTTCCTGATTTAATTACTGCATGGAACTGAAAGCCTTGCACAGCATTGTTAAATACCATTAGACCTATTTATAGTCTCTTCACACCAGCAACTTGAGCTCAATCATTTGGTAAAGGTCCTGCCCGCCAACCCACTCATTGTGATTGCAATTCCCACCTGGCTCAGGGGTCTCAGACTGAGAAGATGAAGACGCTGAGCTGGCTCCATCCTCTGCTGTCCCCTGTGAGAGGAGGCCTCGCCCGGGCGGAAGCTTCATGCCCAGCTGCTCTGCCATTTCCACATGGTCTCCTGGGTGGACATAGTCAAATACACTGCTGCCTGTCAGTTCCACCTAGGAGGACAAAAGAAATGGTGGGAAAGGATGAAAAGAAGGAAAAGAGAAGGGTCATTTGGTTTTTCATTTCCAACTTCAAGACACTATTAAATTAGGCACTGAATAGAAATGCAAATATGGTTCAGTCCAAGAAACACAGGCTATATTAGCAGTCAACCTAGACCCAGTTTTGATTAGGCCTAAGGTGTGGGTTACAGAAGCATCACTGAACCCGAAAGAAAGTGAGGGTGTTTCTATACTTATGTGGCAAATATTTAGCCCTGTTTAAAATGTGAAAAAAGAAAGTCCTAGTAAAAACCTTTGGCTTTTAAAACTAGATTATTGGCACCAAAGATTTGAACATTTGGCATTGTATAGACCAAGTATCTGGATAATTAACTGGACAGTTCAGTTTTCAGTGAGAACTGGATTCATGTAGATATGGCCCTGGTTTATTTCAGCTTTCTTGGATGCATTTTTATACATGTAGGCAGTACAAAGGGCTTATTTCTATGTAAATTTAAATGTAAAAAAGTGCTATTTAGGAATATATAAGAAGACATAATGTTTTCATTAAATATTACTCATTAGCTCTGTAATCACATGGAGAATTTTCCACAGGAAAAAGGTCAGCTTCGATCTAAGCCAGTGAGTTGTTTTTTTTTTTTTTTCCTGCTGGTATCAGCTTGTTCTGACTTCAATCTAATAAAATAGATGGTACAAACCTCCTTGAGGGTAGTTTTTTTATGTTTTGTTTTGTATGTGGTTAGACTGCCTACCAACACAGAGCAATGAATGCAAGAACGTCTGAGAAGCCAGACTCTGGTTAAAATCCTGCACGGTTCACCGATGTCAGAGGTGGTCCCAGTATGGATTTTGAGCTGTATAAGGGGGCAATTGCTACTACAAGGATTGGGTTAATTTCAGTAAGCCACCCACCCCCCTCCATTGTGTATCTCTCATTTTCTTTCAAGTACAGCAATAATGCTGCTGAAAGAAATGCAGTGGGGTTACAAGTACTACAGAAAAGAGAGAGATATCAGCAATAGGACAAGAAAAAGCCGTTTTCCAGGTCACTAATGGACTTTTCCTGTCCTGAGTAGTTTAATAGTTAGTAGATCAGCTAACACAGGCTATGGAAGCTTGCTTCCCTTTACTTCTCACAAGTTACTGAGTGGGATCTACCCATGAGAACATCAGGTGTACTGGAGATTCCTTGGATTTAGAGTAAAGAGGATTTAGGGTCATGTCTCAGCTCTGACACTCACTGTGTGACTCCGGAGGAGTCACTTACCCTCTCTGGGCCTTAGCTTCTTCAATTGTAAAATGAACGGGTCAGGCTAGGTGATCTCTAAGGACCCTGACAGTTCTATGTTCCCTGATCCTGTGACCTTTCTTTCCTTTCTTTCTCTTTCCTTTGTCATCCCTCCAAATTTAAATTTGGCTCTTTGGTATCCCAGGCAAGCTGTTACAAGGGTATCTGGAAGCATATCACTGGAAGCTATCATGTTTTGCATGGGACTCCCAGTACGGGTAAAATCATCACAACTACTTCCAGACACCGTTTGATTAAAATCTTAACAGACAACACATCTCTCATATCTGTCAATTAAAAGCAGGAAGGCTGAAGAAATGGGAAGCTGATTTCAGTTTAGTTACCCGTACTTCCCGAAAGAGGCTTACTTACCTCTTGCCAAAAATGAGGTACGTTCTCATGGTTATTAAATGGCACTCTGCTATGATATTATTTGTCTACTGACTATATCATTTTACAGTAACTATTTCATTCATCTGGTATTGTTACAGAGTCTAAATCAGGATTCATAAGTGATCAGTTCCTTTCCTCTGGGAGGGAGGGATTACATGTAAATAATCCCTTTAATGTACGCATTGCCTCTAAGCGTTTCACACAGCAATAAATTGGTAAACTGAATTTGAGCAATTAAGAAATTAAATGAAACTAATAAAATGCGTATTTTAATATTTCTTGATGGTTATTTTGTTTGGGGATTAGCGAATATGAGAAAGTCGCTCTCATCTTGCATGGAGGCAAATTGTAGCACTTTAATAAACTATTTCTGTCGGTTTCCTTAAACTCTATCTTTTATTTAATACCACAACACGCCTTTCGGCACAGGCCACAGATTGTGATAAGCTGACAACATCGGAGTGGAAAACACTTTAGATTTCCCAGGTTCCTGATTATTAAACATTCACACAGACCCTTCTTGGTCCCTCAGCTGCTAACGCCTTCTCTCTCAGACAGCCTTCTATTGACTCTGTTTATAGCAAGTATGAAGACCTCGTCATTTATATACTGCCTCCCCCATTAAAATGTAAGCTCCTTGAGGTCAGGTACTGTTTTTGCTTTTCTTTGTAGCACAGGACCCGGCACACAGTAAGTGCTTTTAAATGACTGACCGCCTGACATGGGGTTACTCTTTACTTTTGTTATTCAGTCCTTTCAGTAGTAATCAACTCTCTGTGACCCCATTTGGGGTTTTTCTCAGCAAAGATACTGGAATGGTTTGCCATTTCCTTCTCCAGCTCATTTTACAGATGAGGAAACTGAGACAAATAGGGTTAAGTGATTTGTTCAGGGTCACAAAGCTAGTAAGTATCTGGAGGTGATTTGAACTCAGGAAGATGAATCTTCCTGACTCTAGGCCCAGTACTCACCTAGTGCCACCTAGCTGTCTCTGTGGAGAAAGTAGTCACAAGTAAATGTTGGTCAAGTGGCAATGATAGTAATAATAATAATAATAACTAATATTAATGTAGCACTTCAAGGCTTACAAAGCATTTTACATAAGGTATTTCATTTGATCCTCACAATAACCCTGTGAGGGAGGTACTATCATTGCTCCCATTTTATAATAAATCTGAGGCCTCATGGGAGAGATTAAGTGATGTGCTTAGGATCATACAGCTAGTGAGTGTCTGGATTCAAATTCAGGTCTTCCTGATTGCAAGTCCAGTGCTCTATTCATTACCCCATTTAGCTTCAACAAAGGTCACTAACTAGGAGGAGAGAGGAGGTCAAGTTCAAGTTCAAGACCATGGGGCTCAGGTCTTAGGGAGAGGGACCCAAAGAATTCATCTTACCCTAGATAAGCATACCTCAGTGTCACTGACTTTAGTTATTCTACCACTGAAATGGTCAGCGTAAAAAATTTTTGCTATGCTTGATGGGAAGATTCAGTGAAGGGGTGATTATTTTACCCATAAAATGATCATAAGGTTTAGTGTTACATAAGTAAATTTTTCTAGCATCCACAATCATTTATACAGTGAGCAGAATTTTATGTAGACAGACTTTATCTACACTTGCATTCCTATTAGAAGCATCAGTGAATCCAACTTATACTACAGGCATATGATCTGGGCGAGAAGTCCTGCTTCACCCCAGGAGGGTGGTGAATATGCATGGGATCCCAGAATAGTAAAATCTGATATTTAGTTAGCATTCTAGGATTTGAAAAGTATTTGCCATACCTTATTTTACACAAGCTTCACAACAACCCTAAGAAGTAGGTATCATAAGGGTTATCACCCCCATTTTACAGATGAAGAAACTGAGGGTCAGAGATAGTAAGTGACATGCCTGTGGTCACACAACCATAAGTTGATAAGTGATAGATCCTAGGTTCAAACTCAAATATTGCTGATTTAAGTTATAGTAGATAGTGCAGGCAATAAGAGTGCTGGGCCTGGAATCAGGAAGATCTGAACTCAAATGTAACCTCAGACACGTACCAGCCGTGTGATCCTGGGAAGGTCAGTTAACTTTTGTTTACTTTAGTTTCCTCAACTATGAAAGGGGGATAATAACAGTACCTACTTTGCAGGGTTGTTGTGAGGATCAAATGAGATAATAACTGTATGTAATGAGATAGCACATAGTAGGCACTACATATTCCTTTCCTTTCCCCCTAGTCTAACCAACTCATTTTGCAGTTAAGGAAACTGCATGTCTTGGAAGTTAAATGACTTGGCAAGTTCATACAGGTAAACTTCACAGGTGATATTTGAACCCTGGTCTTGTGATGCTCTTTTTACTATGCCATGTTCCACTTCTATTTGCCAAACATTTCAAGATGCTGCTCATAAATAACAGATAACAGTTACAGACCACTTTTGGGATCAAAAAGTTCACATGCGCGCACGCGCGCGCGCACACACACACACAGAGTCCTGTTTGATTCTCACGATAACTCCATGATGTACTACAGTTATTATTATGCTTATTTTACAAATGAGGAAATTGAGGCTCAGAGAGAATTGAGTGATTTGCTCTGTCATCTAGTTAGTTAAGTTCCAGAGGTGAGATTTGAACTCAGGTCTTTCCTGATCCCACATCTAGCACAATTCTCACCACTGGTCTCTATCCTGTGGTAACTTGATCAGCTCATGAGTTGCTTTCATTCTCCTCCCTTCACTCCAGGTCTAAACAAAGATGAATTGATAAGTAGATCTTTTCAAAGAGAGTTTATTCTCCTGTGTCCAGAACCCTGGATAGTAATCCAAATTACAATCCACACATGTATAGCATTTGAAAGCTCACAAAATATTTTCTTTATAAAAGCCTCATGAAGTGAATAGTGGAAGTATTTGTATTCTCATTTTACAAATGAGAAGACTGAGGTTCACACAGATTGCATGAAGGTCATGTAGCCAGTGTCAGAACTATAGAAAAATTTTGTTTTCTTTGATGCTAAGTCCACATATTCTCAATTTAGTTCTGTTGTTTTTTCCTCTTTGTGTGACTTTGAGTAAGTTGGTTACCCTGTCTTGGCCTTACTTACTGCATATATAAAATGAGGGAGTTAGACTTTAGGGTATCTACAATGCTTTCCTACTCTCAATCTATGATTCTGTAATCCTAGAAAGAATGGGGCCAGGTAACAAAACAAAGTAGGGCTACCATTCCCTAGAAATGGGGTTCTAGCGAAAGCTCATTCACAACACCAGTGTCCAATATCATTATATTGAGAAAATTCTTTCATCTAGTCCAATCC